TTATCACCCATGACATTCCCTTTAATGGCACATATTTTGTATGTGGCTACAAAGCCTACGCCTGGCTTCCCCGCTGCTGGACGGATTCCTTCTATTGTGCGTTTATGGTCCCCCATATGAACCACTTCCCCACGTCACACCAGCACCCCTGGATCAAACGATGCAAGAGGGCAATAACCGAGACTGAGCGTTTCTTCCTGACAGCCTTCCCCATTTACGGTACGGGGAAAGCAGCCCGGGAACTGATTAACATGGCCTCAGCCCGAGAGAAATTGGGCAATGAAACCGCCTATGCTCTAGAGGAAACAAACCAGGCCACTTCCCGGCTGGCTGCCGAACTTGTGGCGGTGCAAACAGTGGCCCTACAGAACAGACAGGCTATAAATTTTGTGCAGGCCGAGAAAGTGGGTACTTGCGCAGTTATAGGACAGCACCTATATTCCAGATGAGTCTGAAAACATCACGCTCCTATCGGACCGTGTGCAGCGAGCTGTCAGCAAAATAAAAGCAATAGAGAATCAATTCCACAACTACAATCCCCCGGGGTCTGGATTTATGGGCCTTTGGGACTTGGTGGAGCACCCTGACCCCCTATGGGATCATTCTTCTTATAATTGTAGTATGTGTCATCTGGACCCGCCGAATATGCGCCATTCTCCCCCGGGGTCAGCAAAGCCCTGTTCCCCTGTTTCCCCGTTACATATCCAACAGTCCCGATTACGAAGGGAAGGAATACTTGGGCATGAGACCTTATCTCCTAGAGAACGACCCTACATTTGCAGAGGAAGACTGGTGAAGTTGATAATGGGGATCAAAAAGGAGGGAATTGTGGAACACTTGCATGATGAGACTGTTTAATTTAGGCTGAGTAGTAATGAGTTAAAATTATACATGACGAGGAGCACAAAGTAGGGAAACTTGAGCTTTATGAAACAGTACATATTGCGGTAACTACAACCTGGCTTTCCCTAGCCTGAGAAGTCATGTAGGATAGATAGCAAAAGCTAGAACTCGCAGCATCTGTAAACTTTGATCTTCACCGCATTACCCTTTAATTAATGTAAGTCTGGTTGCCGAAGTAATGACCTTGCCTTGCTAAAAACACAGTAACATGGCAGTTTGTTTCAACTTGTTTCTACCACAGTCTAAATTCTGCCTCTTTTTACACTTGTCGGAGTCTTCGGACCTGACTTTTGTCAGCGTTAACTCTCCGTGATATCACGAATAAAATCTCTTGGCCTTGATGTCTGGGCCTTTGGTATGTGATTTAATCTAATCTCTTCGACACTATCTCCAGCTCCCCGTCACGCACACAGACTATGTACAGCTCCCCCATACACACATACAGAGAGAGACTCCCCCCTGATCCCACTCACACGCACACAGAGAGATAGACTCTATCCATCTCCACCTCATACACAAACACAGAGACTGTGTCCAGCTCCCCCTCACACACACACACACTCTCTCTCCGGCTCCCCCTCTCACACGCACTCACTGTCTCCGGCTCCCCCTCACACACGCACTCACTCACCAGCTCCCCCTCT